AACACTCTTTTCAATTTTCTCGTCAATTGCTACTGGTGTTGCCAGAAGAAATTATTCTCGGCACCAAATGCGGAAAACGTATACAACAGAACAACTTCGTACATTTCAAATAACGACTGTGTTCGTAGAAAACATGTAGAGAATAACATTTAAGACGGCATTCCTTTTTTCTCAAGACTTCGCATCGAGAGATCAAAGTTCGACTCGTGGGGGGTAAATTCACGTGACACGTTTGGTACCACTTTTCAACAGTTTCATTTAGGGTATGCTTTTTGCACCCTTGTCTTTAATTCTTTTTTCTTTTTTTGTTTTTTCAAGAAGAAGCTTTTGTTTCATCATTATCGATAAAAAAAAACATCAACAAAACCCCTTCACAATGCTTCTAGCATCGGTTTGAACTAGGTAAGTAATTATAAGACAGGTCTGAAACAGGGTATATATTTAAAAGTCTGGTCTTAATTAAATAGGGTATTAAATGTTTGGTTACGTCATAAATGGGGTAGGGAAAATCACAGACTTAGGTCTAAATAGGGTATGGGTTTTGGGAAGCGGGCCCCACACTCCCACCTGATTTATCAGGGAGTATGAATAACAATAGACACTCAACGATTTGTCTTTAATTAGAAAACTGGGAAACTTGACGAGTGGGTCAGCGAATGCTTAGAGCCAAGAGAAAACAGCCCAGTCAGAATTATATACTTCGCCACTCGTCTATATGTTTTTAGAATAATAAGTGTAGGTTTTAACATTTAAGAACGCCACATGAACCAGGTTTGACCTGCAATTTATCCTTCACCATTTTTTTTTTNATAACAATAGACACTCAACGATTTGTCTTTAATTAGAAAACTGGGAAACTTGACGAGTGGGTCAGCGAATGCTTAGAGCCAAGAGAAAACAGCCCAGTCAGAATTATATACTTCGCCACTGGTCTATATGTTTTTAGAATAATAAGTGTAGGTTTTAACATTTAAGAACGCCACATGAACCGGGTTTGACCTGCAATTTATCCTTCACCATTTTTTTTTTAAATTGTAATTTGAAGCCTAAAAAAGGGAATAACATCAGCACGTTACGGTAAAATTGTTACAAAGAAAAACAGATCAAAAAAGACAGACTCCATAATATTGCAAATACCTCTGAAAACTTTATAAAACATGTTCAGCTATTAAATAACTGAAAAAGAAAAACCAAGGTGTTTTTTATGAATATTTCCAGTTGAATTGATAACCAGCATGTTTCTTCTTTTCCTTTTTTTCATTTTGTACCCCACGGATAATATTTTCAGATGGACACTATTATTAAATGCTCCCTCAAGGTACATCTTTGATTATAGATTACTTGCTACATATTTGCTATTTTTTATTGTCATATAACTTTTAGATTATATAGTGTACAGAATGAGGTTGCATGGAAACATCGACGTTGACCAGGCCAACAACAAGACCATAGAAAAAGAAGGGCCACTCTTTTTTGCGAAGTTTTAATTAGAGACACATTTGCAATGAAAACTCATCTTATTGTAAATTTTAGGTTCCTAACGATATTGCG